AAACGAAAATCCAAACAGCAGCAATATATTTCATATCCATAACGCTTAGCTTTGTAAGTGATTGTGAACTTTTCTGGAAAACAAAAGGTGGTTTAGAAATAATTTGAAAAAAAAAAAAAGAAAACAATCATATTTGATAGTTAACTGAATTCATATACCCGTTGTTTATGCGTTTAATCTCAAAATAGTAAGTAATTTAAGTTGCTGTCGTTGTTATCCTTTAAGCGTTTATTCCTAGGAATTCTTACATCGTTTACTGACGACTGATTTTTCGTGACGGGTGCTAAACCCTCTGCACAACCCAAATTTAATGTCCTAAGCATAGTGCTCGGTGTACGCACTATTAGTGCATCACCCAGCTAGTGCCAGGTAACTATCAAGGCGTGCCACATGGACGATGTACGATAACTTGAATTGAGAACGATAAGAATTACACGGACATTTTACAAGTTTAATGTAAACAGAAACGTTGCCTTGTGTACTCGCTCTCAGGATATCACAGACCCTGCATCCCAGTTTTACACTTTTAATAACAATTTTAGTTGTTTATTAAAATGTGTTTCTACTAAAAGTTAAAGCTCAACAGTCAATGAAGAAATGCTGGATTGCTTCTTTTTCCTGTATCTTTTTCCGTCTACAATGACTAGAAAAAATGCACAATTTCTGATTTGGGCGGTCTTCCTATTATTAGATTACTATATTTGAACTAAAAGCATGGATGTCCATGAAACTTAGTTATCAGACCCGTCTAAATAACCTTAGAAGCTTAGATATATCCATATGTTCTTACTTAGTTTTTATGAACAGTTTTCGTTCTTTCGCATAATATCCACACGTTAATGTATAATATCTTTACAAAAATTTAACTTTAATTGATTTAGAAAGTTGTGTGACATTTATAAATAGTTGTCTTCGTAGGAATTAATAAGACTCCAAAAAGAGTTGTAAGCGCTACTTGCCGGTCAACGATCAATGGTTTTGAGATATAAACTGTAACTATTGGTAGCAATACATTTTTTTCGTCTAAGTCAAGGAGTTCAAGTGGGCCGTATAATTATTTTAATTTTATTTAATTTTATGATAATTATTTAAGACAATTTTAATTTTATTATAATATAATGGTATTTTCGATTGATATATCTGGATTTAGATTTACTCTCGAACTGTCAAATTTTGTTACCCAATCTAACATATTTGTAATATTGTTTGTAGATATTTATATTTGGCACATATGCATATATAGATTCAAAGCAGATTTCGTCTGTCAAGTCATTTAGAACAGTTGTTAATTTCAGAGTAATCTTGCTACTCTGGCAAAATATCTAGAGTGTTATAAATTAAACTCGAGTGTTATACAATTTGCTCGAGATTTACCAATCGCATATGAAAATTGCACTAAAAGTACATCTCGATTAAAAAAGTTACTCCAGATTAACCAAATGAAAGCAGCATTACTAACGTTGTAAAAATTTTTCAATCCCTTAAAAACTCTGTTAAATCTACTTCGTTAATATAAACATTTTAAATTTTTTTAAACAAAAACTGATTAACTGAAATACATATATTGAGTTACAAAATTACTTAATAAAAATAAAATAAAATACTTAAGCCAAACAGAGTCTGTAGATACAATATAACGTGTAACGTAACAGTAACTTAATGGTTTATATTTATAGAGCAACTGAATATCATTTGTTTGTTTTAGATGAAAATCAGAGTACAGAACTGTCACATGCTTCACGTGTGTCACAAGTGAAAAATGGATTTTTGGTCACCAGACAAGACAGAATTTTATAAAAAAAAATTTTTTTTCTTACCAGTGCCGGTACATGCAACTCCCAATGCACTTGCAACAACGTAGAGAACGTAGAGCAGTGCTCGTCTCACCTACTGCCACCTTGCAAGTGTTCGATTGCAATTTAAAATAATTTATAAAAAATTCCAATCATTTTGTGCGCTCGACTACATATCCGCACCGTGCCTTTCAGCCCAATTTAGAGCATATGCAAGCACACCGAATTACTCTATTCGAATTGGATGCATGTACTTGTATTTACATTTTCAAATTGGTTTTGAGCTTTTCTTTAATCAATTTTATTTTATTAATTTTGCTTGTTGTTGTTCGTGTGTTTTTTTATTTATTTCTTTTTTTATATTTTGCTACACTTATAAGTTTTAAATAAATGGTTTAATTCAAGTTTTAAATTTATTTAGTTTTAACATATAACATAATTTTTTTCCTATATACGGCATTGATTCTGCTTACAAGTTGACTTCGTATCTCAGCTTAAATGCCACTGCCTACATACATGGCATTTATTTGCATTGCAATTGCTGTGAAAATTTAATTTAAATTTTTGTTTCTTGCACTTGTCAACAATTAAATTTAATTGCAAATTTACCACATACAAGCACTGCAATGGCACTCGGAATTAATGACATTAATTTTGGAATTTTGATAAAAAATTGCTCTCCATGCAAGGTAGGTGAATTATTACATCAAATTTGCCAAACACCTTGAACGAGTCCAGTTTTATGAAATCAGTTTTAGAGTAATTTTTTACATTTCGTAACCATTTGGCTGGGTAATTAAATTACATTATATTTTATAACATTTACATATAATACCCAAATCTAAATTTGGAACTATTATGGACTTACAGGAAAGTTTTGTGATAACAGAAACGTTTAGGTGATGGATTAGATTCTTAACATCACACACATCACCATTGAATTTTTAAATTATATAGTAATTAAGTAATAGTAAGTCCCATAGATCAATTACGTTGACATAGTTAAAATGAATTCATAATTTTCGAAATAAATTTTAACAATTTCTATATACCATACCCTTGGGCATTGTCAAACGATACTGAACACACATATCGATTTTGCTAGCAATCTAAAAAAAAACTCCGTTATAATATTTAGAAGATATATAATTGTAATTTGATCACCTTTCAATAATCTGAGTTGCAATTTATTTCTCCTAAAAGATCAT